TCCATTGATCTATGTGTCTTTTGTTGTACCAATATCAGGATGCTTTGGCTACTATGATGTGTAGTAAATTTTGGGATCAGGGAGTGAGAGGCCTCCAACTTTGTTCTTAAGCATTGCTTTACTTATCCAAGGTGTCTTTCCTTTCCATATAAAGTTAGTGATTAGTTTTTCCATCTCTTTAAAGAATGATGTTGGAATCTGGATTGGGATAGCATTGTATATAGATAACTTGGGGTAACATTAACATTTTCACAATGATAAGTCTTCTATCCAGGGACATGGTATGGTATATTCTTCCATTTTTGTAAGTCTCTTTTGGTTTCTTGGTTGTTGTTTTTTTTGTTTTTTTTTTGTATAGGTCTTTTGTTTCTCTGGTTAGATTTGTTCCTAAGTATTTCATCTTTGGGGTGGCTATTGTAAATGGTATTGTTTTCCTAATTTCCTTTTCAGGACTGTCTTTATTAGTGTAGAGAAATCCAACTGATTACTGTATATTGATGTTGTGCCCTGCCACTTTGCTGAATCTTCCAATGAGTTCAATCTTTTTTGTTTTTGCTGAGTCTTTGGGATTTTTAATGTATAGAATCATATCATCTACAAATAGAGTTTTACAACCTCTTTGCCAATTTGGATGCCTTTAATTTCCCTTTCTTACCTTATTGCTCTGGCTCAAATAACTAACACAATATTGAGTAGGAATGGTGATAAAGGGCATCCTTGTCGGGTTCCTGTTTGCAAAGCTGTTGGATAATGCCTTAAGCCTTGTTTTCTTTTCTCCACAGGTTAACCTTTATTTCTCACTGTGAGAGCTTTGCATCGTTAAGATGAACTGAATAGAGATTTTAGTGAATGTTCTTTCTAAGTGATAGTATATAGGCTGATAAGCCAGATCCAGATAAGACTTTACTTAGCATAATACTTCAGATTCTGTAGACAGGTTTAGAGAGCTGTCTCAGACTACAAGTTACTTGCAACTTTCTGATTAAGAAAGAAAACTTCAGGTTGAGAAAGGCTGTCATAGACCCTTTAAATATGTAGCGAATATGAGCATTTATTGAAAGCTAGATTTGCTCCTATATCTCTTGTCCAGAGTTATAACTTGTCAAGTTTTAATAATAATTGTCCACAGTGATTCTCAAGTTAGAGCTGCAGCTATACTTTTTTTGTTGTTGTTCCTCCCAGCTGGGACCAAACAAAATGTAAATGAAAATCTCCTGCAAAGTATTTATTTGGGTAGCTTGTGTTTCTTATCTCATCTTTTACTTTAAGGTATGTATTCATCTGCTTTCACAGTAGATTATCCAGTAGAGGTACAGAAAGGTGTAATTAGAAAATGCTTTCCACACAGCTCTGTTACTGGGTACAGTACCACCTGATTGCAATTTGTCTGTTTAAAAAATAAAAATGTTTTCAGACACTTCATTTACTTGCTATCCCAAGCATATAAAAAGAAATAGATTAACAACGTCTGATGAACAGACAGTGAGTCATTATTCCAAAAAAAATTGTGGACTGAGTATAATATTCTAATAGAGTAATAACACTCAACCTTAATTTTCCCTTAAGACTTGCATTATCGTTAGGTTGAATACTTAATCCTATCTGTTCATATTCGCTACATACAGATTTATATAGAAGCTGTGAAATTATCATATACTCAAAGCACTCGACCTCAAGGTCAGTTTGAACTGCAAGGTTGGTGCTTCAAATGCCTCAGCTGCTCCTCAGAAACCCTGCACAGTCGCTATGAGTCAGAACCAACTCGACGGTACTTAGCAAGAGCAATCTTCCCATTATAAGGAAGAAATTAGGGCATTGGCTAAGTACTAGAGATTTTTAAATACCCTTAGAGAAAATTCATTTCCCAATGTTTATATATTTGTTTTGATTACACATTCAGAAATTCAGAGCCCTTGTAGTGTTTATATATTCTATATTCATTTTTGAACCAGATTCTACTTTAATTCTTAGAACAATAAGGCAGGAGTCTTAGTTATTTTTTCCGCTTTAACAAGCAGGTATGCTCTGTCACACTTTAGGAGCTTAGAAGTCTGAATTCAGTTTAGGAGGAAGGGTCTTCTCTCCTCGCAGGGTCTGCAGACCCAGCATTCCTTGGAGACCTCCGTATGTCTTGATTTTCCCTGGGTCTAGCAGCTTCTTGGCATAGGGTCCCAGGCCCAAAGTATACACCTCATTATTTGTTCTCCTCTCTCAGTGGGACTCTGTTCTCTGCTCACTTGTTCAATCTCTCTTATATCTCACACAAGGTGGGTTCAAGATACAGCCAAGCCCTATAGAGTGTATCCTGTTTTATTAACATCACATCCTTGAGTCCTGCCTCATTGCCACCATGAGGTCAGAATTTACAGCTTCCGGGATCATTCGATCCCAGAACGGAGGACAATGACACAATACTGAGACACAGCCTCGCCAACTTGGCACATGTTTTTTGGAGACACGATTGAATCCGTCACGTGGATCTGTTTGGAAAGCAGCCTTTCCCTTCCATTCTGAAGAAGATGCTTAACGTCTGGGTCATTATTTAGAAAGGACAGTGCCCTGTTTTCATAAAACAAATGATATGTGTTAATAGAACAAGATCAGTTTAGTTTAAAGAATGCTTCTTGTTGTTAAACGCCATCAAGTCGGTTCTGACCCATAGTGACCCTGTATAGGGTTTCCAAGGAGCAACTGGTGAGCTTGAACCACTGACCTTGCAGTTCAAACGGCTTTGCAGTCTGGTGTATTAGCCCACAGCGGCACACCAGGAGTCCAAAGAATGCTTGTTGTTGTTAAGTGCCATCGAGTCGGTTCCAACCCATAGTGACCCTGTATAGGGTTTCCGAGGAGCAGCTGGTGAGCTTGAACCGCCGACCTTGCAGTTCAAACAGGTCTGCAGTCTTGGGTGTTAACCTACAGTGCTACACCAGGACTGTTAGTACATATGAAAATGAGTCTTCAAAACTGATAAATTACAGAGCAATTATTTGCATGTTCAAATAACATATATTCAAATCCTTTTTAAAACAAATTTCATTTTTGAAATTAGATAACATAAAATTATCAGGAATATTTTTGTATACCTCATATTACTCTTAAGGAAGATTGCCAGAGTCTGTTGATCATGTGAAAATCATTGTTACATTTTTTTATGCAGTAGAAAAATAATAAAGAAATTGGGATTTATTGACTCTTCTCTTTTTGCCAGATTTAGAAATGGCTGTCGCATATTGGAATTTAGTATTATCTGGAAGGTTTAAATTCTTAGATCTCTGGAACAAGTTTTTGTTGGTAAGTATACTCCTGCTTCTGGGTGGGTATGTACAATATAGAACTGAAATTAATGGATTGTAAACAAGGTTGTTCAACTTCCTGGTAACTTCCTCTTCCCCAGCAGATAATGCCAGAATATTCTTCTCCGTCCTGGAAGCAATGAAGTTAAAGTGTTACTTATGAGTGTATCATTTGTAGTTGTGGATAAAACGCTAAGGTTGTTACTCTTCACTGCTGTTGTGCCAGCTCCTTTATAATGTAACGAAACGTTACTGAGTCCTACACCATCTTCCTGATGGTTGATCCGTTTGGGATCCTTGCTGTAGCCATATTGTCATTATATCTCACTGAGGGTTTCCTCCACTCCATCAAACTTGATGACCTCCTCTGATGTTCAGTCCCTCCTGATGATGCGTCCAGAGTCCTCAGGTTGTAGTGCCAGATGAGATCCTGTGACCCACAGCCTTCTCATTGGCTAGCTTTGGCCTTATGCGCATCTCCCACCCACCTGTCACCGCAGGTGTGCGTGTTGTTGTGATGCTGCATGTGTCTCAGTACAACTTTCAGACTCAGAAGAAAGTCCAAGCAGTGATCTGCTGCTGAAAACCCACCAGGCAACACCTTACAGACCACAGCCACGACCTCTAAGGCCATTCAGCAGTAGCTAGCAGCTACAGTTTTCACAGCGACATCACCAGACCTTCTTGTCTGGAAGCTCTACTGATAGTCTGAAGTAGTTGTAATCTAGAAGTAAATTCCACTGTGGATAACCCTGCTGGAATTTGAAATACCAGTGGTAGCAACGCACAAGCCACCACACTCTGACAGACGGACAGGAGAGTGGTGGTATAAAGCTGTCCACAGAGTGTATTAGACAGCAGAGAGATTGCTGCACAACTTTGCTGGACTCCAGTAATCCATAGCAGCTAGGCTTCACGTTTCACCTGGCTCCAAGGCTGCTTTTAGAAAGTGGTTCATGGCAACTGCATTCTGAACTACGTTTCTAGATGATCTGCCTGAAACTTCAACCACCTGTTGATTTATTGTTTCCTCTGTGGTCTCAAAACTGCTGATTATTTCTCTACTTTTTATAAGAAACTTAGAGTCCTAGAAGAACTCATCAGAGCCAAACTTTGTGTACCACTTGCTCCTGGGTCCAGGACTGTGGGGTTTGCTCCAGTGTCCGGTAGAGATACCGCTGTGCATGTGTTCATACTCTGATACCATTTTTAAATGCACAAAGGACCTTCAGAAAGGTTGTGGAATGAAAAGACAGTGGAATTGTTCCACAAACTTTTTTAAATCCCCTTGTGTCTGATAATGTTCAGAAGGAATTCAAAGAGTCAGTTAGTGTTGGTAGCTTGCAGTAGGCTCTACAATAACGCAGTCTCAAAGAAGAATAGGTACTTCACAAAGCCTAAATCTATAAGTAGAGTAAGAATGCTTAGATTAATAATAATTTGTTGTTGTGAAGTGCCATCAAGTCAATTCTAACCCATAGCGACCCTGCATAGGGTTTCCTAGGAGCAGCTGGTGAGCTTGAACCACAGACCTTGCAGTTCAAACCGACTTTGCAGTCCAGCACATCTACCAACAGCACCACACCAGGAATCCACCAGCTGATCTTGAGAAAGATGAGCCCATCTGTTTCTATAAAGATGATAGCTTTGGAAACCCTCTGGGGCTGTTTTAAACTGTCCTGTAGAATCGTTGAGTCATAATTGACATGAACTAGTTTTGTGACCAACAGCAAGTTGTTTATCTGTCCTGTGCCTTGGTTTCCTCATCTGTTAAAAAAAAAAAAAAGCAAAAAAACCTAATACTAGTTAGCTTATAAGGTTGTTGGGGAAAATTGCTCATTAATATAAGTAAATCATTTAAACCCGAACAGGCTTTTTAAGTGCTGTATGTGAAAGCTGCTGTCATGTAGAAAGCCCTTGGGTGGTGCAAATGCCTGCTCTCAACTACTGACCTGGAGATTGGTGGGTCACATCCACCCGGTGGTCTGTTTCCATATGGTTACAACCACTGAGGGGAAGTCACTAACTAGAGCATTTTGTTTCTGTTGATTAAGTTCCACTGAGTCAGTTCCAACTCATAGCAGCCTTGTATAGGGTCCCAAGGAGCATCTGGTGGGTTTGAACCACTGGCCTTGTGGTTAGCAGTCTAGTGCTAATTATACAGCACCACACCAGGATTCTGTAGACACATGTTAACTTGGATGAAGGGAAAGGCAATATACAATAAAGTAACAGTGACGAATGATAAAGGCACTGAATACAAGAGCTAAAGGCAGCAAACGTAATAATCTAACATCCAAGAATATTACAGTCACCTGCAGTAACAGTACTGATAACCCACAGGTGGGTACATGTGTTTACAAGCAAGCTGAACAGAAGTGGGAGACAAATGCTACGACCCCCATGAACATACAGAGATTTGACAAGGTATTTTTACATATGTGTTTATATGTGCTGTAAACATGTTCATGAACATTGAGCTTGCAAGGAGCCTTGGAGACACAGTGGGTTATGCATTGGGCTATTAACTCCAAGGTCAACAGTTCGAATCCACCAGCTGCTCTAAGGGAGAGATATGAGGCTTTATGGTCCTATAAAGATTTACAGCCTTGGAAACACTGCCTAGGGTCACTATGAGTTGGAATCCATATATCTTGAAAGAATGAGTCACTGGGCCTGGGGGCTCAGGATAGTGTCCTCAGCGGCATCGAGGTCAGTTCACATAACATTATACACACAAAGATAGGTTTCCACATCCTGCTTCGGTGACTAGCAGCTGAGGCGTTAGAAGCTCCTGAGTGACCGTCTAAGGTGGTCACCCCCTGTCAGAAACAAGGAAGAGTGAAGACAATCAAAGACACAAGGAGACAATTTGTGCCAAGGACTTAATAGACCACAAGACACCCAGTCTCCAGGAATGACCCTGAGACAAGAAGACCTAGATGGTGCCCAGCAACCACTGTTAACGTTCACAACAGAGTGAGAGAAAAATGTGGAAAAAACTCAGAGTCATAAAGCCAAGGCTTATTGTTGAGATAGAGTCTGGGTGGAACTCCCGAGAATATGGGCCTGTGGATTCCTTTGAAGCCTGGAACCACATTCACCCCTCTGGTTCACCTGTCAGCAAAACAGTAGACCTGTAAGGTCAACAGTAGCTACCAGAACAATAGCACTTAGAATAGTCACCCAGTTAAGATCCAAAGGACAGCATTTGCCCAAAGACAAGTTTAAAAGACAGGAAGGGACAGGAAAGAAGAAATGAAAACAGTAAACACAGGGAGGAAGTAGGAACAGAGCTGTTAACATTGTTGAGACTGCAATCTGTCACTGATTAAACTGTGTACGAATTGTTGAGTGGGAAACCCATTTCCCCTTTAAACTGTCACCCAAATCACAATTTAATTTTCAGTTCCAGCCATTGAAAACCCCAAGTACTCATGACTCTGAAACATGGGGTCACCATGGGTTAGAAATGACCTGACAGTAACAGGTTTGGTTTGGTTTAGGGTTAGTTAGTATCTGTAATAGACGAAGGCTCATTTAAATCATTAACTCGTGCGCTATAGCTTATCTCTTGAAACTATTCAGAAGTTAATAGCCTTGTGACCATGATTCTTCTAAGTTTTTGCTTGGGGTTCTGTAACCTATATTTTAGACACATAACCCAAGAATAGGCCATCAATAAGTTATAAAATCATAGGGTTAGCCTTATAAATCCAATGTATAAGACTATATTTTGTTTTTAAAGACATCTGCTTTCTGTATTCACACATTGGTGGTGTAGCCAAATTATTCAAAGCACTGTTATTTTAAGTTTTAAGCTTTGTTCGTGCACTTGTATTCCTCATCACATTATCTAATGAAGCCAGACAACCCACTGGAATGTTTAAGAGTTCAGCTTTGTGTCTTAAATCTGGTGTTTATTTGTTTATTTTTCTCTTAATGTTTTAGGAACATCACAAAAGATCAATTCCAAGGGACACTTGGAACCTTCTACTAGATTTTGGAAATATGATTGCAGATGATATGTCTAACTATGATGAAGAAGGTACTGAAATGACAGTATTTTGGAAGATTGCTAGGAATCCTTAAACTTAGCCGGAATGTTAACATTTCCTGCCGTCAGCACTAAAGCAGAGTGAGGAAGAACTTAGACACTGTGATCAGACCCACTGTGCTCTGGCTCCTGGCACCACGTGTGCTTGTGTGCTGTGCTTAGCAATGACATGGGTGTAGGGAAAGTTCTCACTTCAGTCCTAGAAAGGAAAACGGGTTTCAAATTTCCCATAAATCGAGAAGATAGCCATTTAAACTAAACCACTTCCAAAACGTCACACAGACCACCAGGGCAGAAACACAGAAAACCTGGATGGCTAATGGTCCCAAATAGGCAGTGTGACCCCCTAGGTCAGTGATTTCATGATGCTGCCTTACTTGAAGATTCTACCGTAGATTTATTTATGTAAATTTAATGATACACTCTGTCGTTTCCTCCGCCCACAATATTTCAGGACACTGAATCAGAAGACCTGTGTTTGCTTGTTTGTTTTTATCTGAGTGCATGCTGGGTATGTTCTGCAAAGCTGATGTTTTCGGCTCCTATAAAGATGTACAACCTTGGGCACCCTATACAGGGCTGCCGTGCATCAGAACCAGCTCCCTGGCACCTAAAACAACTCCTACGTTGGGAAGGGAAGAGTCATACTCTGGGAGGAAGTTCTCAACCTCCAGGCTCCTCACCTACTGTAAGTCTTCACTGCCTGTCCTAGTGAAGGGAGCACAATGCCTCTCTCTGTAGGATCAGCACTGGACTGCAAACTCTGAGGTTGGTGGTTCAAGCCCACCACTCGCTCTGTGGGAGAAAGGTAAAATTTTCTGCTCTTGCAAAGATGTATGGTCTTGGAAACCGTGTACCGGGTCACTGAGTTGGAACCGACTCAACAGTACTTCACAACACATCCAGCTAAGCTGTGAGTTTCTCTGTAATTTCCCTCCATTCACTCTCTCTGCTCTGCCATCAGCAGAACTAACCACTCACGTCTCTGTGTTCTAGAAAGTACAGATTCTTCAGCTCATCATTGGTCTTTACTGGTTCACGTGTCTATTTTTCTCACTCTATGTACAAGTTCCCCAAGGATCTTAGCTTGGTCTTCTTTTACATCTTCAGCACTTCGCACAACACCTAGCATATATACAACCTGTATGCTGATAAAATCATTCAAGAAGCATGATCATGTGAAGGAAAACGTGGCATCAGCATTGGAGGAAGACTCATTAATGACCTGCGATATGCAGATAATACAACCTTGCTTGCTGAAAGCTAAGAGAACTTAAAAATACTGATGAAGATCAAAGACCACAGCCTTCAGTATGGATTACATCTCAATGTAAAGAAAACAAAAATCCTCACCACTGGACCAATAAACAACATCCATATCAATGGAGAAAAGGTTGAAATTGTCAAAGACTTCATTTTCCTTGGATCAACCAACAACACTCATGGAAGCAGCAGTCAAGAATTCAAACAACATAGTGCATTAGGCAAGTCTGCTGTACAGGAGCTCTTTAAAGTGTTGAAGCGCAAAGATGTCAATTTGAGGACTAAGGTGTGCCTGACCCAAGCCATGATAGTTTTGATAACATCATATGCATGTGAAAGCTGGACAATGAATAGGGAAGACTGTAGAAGAATTGATGCAGTTGAGTTATGGTGTGTAGAGGACAATACTGAAAGTACCATGGGCTGCCAAAAGAACCAACAGATCTGTGTTGGAAGAAGTGCAGCCAGAGTGCTCCTTGGAGGCCAGGACAACCAGACTTCGTCTCTCATATTGCTGACATATTGTCAGGAGGGACCAGTCTCTGGAGAAGGATGTCATGTTTGGTAAGGTGGAAGGTCAGAGAAAAAGAGGAAGACCCCCAGCAACAGACTGGCACAGTGGCAGCATCAGTGGGCTCAGGTGTAGCAACAACTGTGAGGCTGGCCCAGGACTGGGCAGGTTTCATTCTGTTGCACAGGGTCGCTATGAGTCGGTACTGACTCAATGGCACCTAGCAACAACAACAAAAATCATGTACCAGGCGCTTTATAAATGTTTGTCCAATTAGTGAATGAATATGTAATTGAATATATACATAAGTGCTCTGCGTTTCACCATATTTGGTGAGACAAGGGCAGACACGTCTACATAAAAAGAGAAAAATATATAGGGCAGCGCTACTCAAAGGTTTTTAAAAACCCACTCTCATCAAGGTGCCATATAGGGTTTTTATGGAGTGACTGGTGTGTTTGAACTGCCGTCCTTAAGGTTGGCAGTCCAGTGCTTATCCTACAGTACCATACCAGGACTTCATTCTGACTTATTGCAACCTTATATAGGGTTTCTGAGACTGTTAATCTGTATAGAGGCAGACAGCCTTATTTTTCTCCCAAGGAGTGGCTGGTGGGTTTGAACCACCGACCTTGTGGTAAAAGCCCAGTGCCTTGCCTACAGTGCCAATCGTAACGAGATTAAAGAGAACTTAAGTAAATGGAAAGATGCCCCACGTTCATGGATTATAAAAATGTCAGGACTCGCCAAAAGATCTATAGATTCAGCACAATCCCAATAAAAATTCCAATAGCATTAAAAAAAAAAAAATGGAAAAACCAATCCTCCTCAACTTGATATGGAATAGTAAGAGGCCAAAAATAGCTAAGGCAATATTGAAAGAGAGGAACAAAGCAGGACAACTTGCATTTCCCGATTTTAAAATATCTACAGCTACAGCAGGCAAAGCAGTCAGCTAACTGATAAAACAAAAAGAGGCCAGTAGACACATGGTCAAGAATGGAGAGTCCAGAAACAAGCCCACACATCTGTGGTCAGCTGATTGTTTTTACAAGATTGTTAAGTTCACTCAGTGGGGAGAAGGAGGTCTCTTCAGTCAACGGTTCTAGAGAAAATGAAACCAAACCCATGACTCCCAGCATCCACACAGACTAATGCAGAATGGATTAGGGACCTAAATGTGGGCGCTGTAACACCATCAGGCCTAGGTTTTGTTTTTGGTTTTGGTTAAACACTTTTTTAAAAAAGTTTTTGTTGTGAATTGAGCGATAATTTACACGAGAGAACTTTGGTTTTACACTCATCATTTCATTGCAATGATTACAATCTCCTCCTTGCATCCTCATTCAACAGTATTTGCTTCCATTCCCTCTGGTGTTTTTGGGGGGAGATGTACACGGAAACACTCAAGAATATATAATCATTTAAACAACCAACGGGCATATTCTGCAAGCCTGGCAGACCTCGTTTTTAATGATGATTATATAATACAGTAACAGAAACCCAAGTAGCAAAACATGAAATAAACTTTTCTTTAGCCAAATACTTTACCAAAAAAAGTGAAAAGACAAGCTACTGACTGGGAAAATATTTTCATAAACTCTAGATCCAGTAAAATTCTGATAATCAAAATATATAGAGAACTTTGGCAAGTTAATAACAAAAAGACAACCGAATCATAGACTAGGCAAAGGATGTGACTAGAGACTTCATCAGAAAGAACATTCCTGTGGCAATCCAGCGCATGGAAAGATGTTCAGTAATCACCAGCATTGAAGAGGTGCCGCTCAGAACCTACTGAGATGCCACTCCACTCTCTCTAGTAAGTTTTAGGAGCTCTGGTGTGGTGCTGTTGGATCAGCACTGGACTGCTAGTCTCAAACTTAGTGGTTCAAATCCACCATCCACTCCTCAGAAAACCTCTACAGGGTCATTGTCTCAGAACTGACTCCACAGCACTCAACAACAACAGGATGATTGAGATTTAAAAACAAACAAACAAAATGGCAAACGCTGGTGATGATGTGGGGGAACGGGAGCCCTTATCCACTTGTGGGAATTTAAAATCATCCAGCCATTGTGGACGACAATGTGACACTTCCTCAGAAAACTGTATCATACCGTACCAGGAGACACAAGTCCCTGGAAAGGGACATCAGGCTTGGTAAATTGGAGGGTCAGTGAAAATGAGGAAGACCCCAATGAGATGGATGGACACAGTGGCTGACGCAGGACCAGGCAGTGTTTGTTTGACTCTGTTTGTAGGGAAGCTATGAGTCACACTGACTGGATGGACGGCATGTAACAACAACATGCGGGCAAGTAAGTCTACTCCTAGCTATTTACATCTAAAAAAAGATGTGTGCACCTGTGTTTCTTGCAGCTCTATTCACGAGAGACAAAAGGTGGAAAGAACCTAAATGCCCATCAAGGAATGAATGGAAAAACAAAATGGGTTACATGCATACAGTAGAGTACTGTCTGACCAGGAGGAGGAATGGATGTCCTGACGCTCACACTACCATACACATGGGGCTTGAAGACATTATGCTGAGTAAAATACTTCAGTCATAAAAGGGCAAACGACGGATAACTCATATATTAAAAAAGAAACATTTCCCTAAGGACCAAGTTGAGAAGGGATGGGAAGGAGGGTGGAATGAAACAGGAACCATGGAAATAGGGAGGAAGCTGGGTAACTGTTGCCTGGAGGGGACTGGAGGCATTGAGGTGAAACAAAGTGTTGGATTTGTTGAATGTAAAACTGCATCCTTCATTCAATTCACAATGAAAAATTAAAAAAAAAAAAAAAAGCCTGATGTATACGCAACAAACTTTATCTGCGGTGACCCAGGACAAAAGGGAAGGAGCTCACGGGTTACTGCCCATGAGTACTGAGTGTCCATTTGCAATGATAGAAAAGTGGCTTTGATTGAGAACAAGATTGGACAGCCAATTGTAAGTGCTTTCAGTAAATTGTTGTTAAGTTCTGGTCCACAGCAACCTTGTGTAGGGTTTCCGAGGAGTAGCTGGAAAGTTTGAACCTCCAATCTTGTGGTTCAGACTGACTTTGCAGTCCAGCATATTAACCTACAGTGCCACACCAGCACTCCCTTCAATAAGTTATACACCTGTAAAAAGTTTAGTTGTTGAAAGCTGTGTGTTAGATAAATTTGAACAGTTACAAAAAGAGTAGGTGCTGAGGCTGCGTATGTCCAACCAACTAGTTCATGGGATTTCGGTCCTTGCTTTGATGAATAATGTCATCGGACAATCCCACTTAATTAGCCTAATAAAGTGTTTAAATGCTGAATAGTGTCTGGGGTCCTAAAAGCTCATACTTGGTCATCCAGGGTACAATCATTGGCATCTATCCACCTTGGAAAAAAGGGGGAAGGAGAGTCTGGAACGGAAGGAGGAGATGAAATTTGTGGTGAATTGCCTTCCATGCCATGAGACTGGAAGATGCTCAGCTCTTATTTATCATTATGATCAAAGATTCTAAAAGAGCAATTACTGTTTAAAAGAGGAATGAGTACAAAATAGGGTTTGAAATGTTTAAAATCCAGCTCTTCTGTAATCGTGGATGGTAGATGTACCCCTGAAATGAAACCCTCAGATAGTCTTTAAACCATAAACCAAAAATAGCCCCTGAAATCCTAAGGAACAGTTTAGCTTCATTAGTAAAAAATGTCTGCCTTGAGGATCTTGCTCTTCTGTGGGCTCAAATTGACAAGAGCAACTTAAAGATTCGATAGGAAACTTCGGGAGGCAGTTTATGTTAGTGGAAGAGGAACAGCATAGAAAAGTAAGAATGGTACAACTTGCAAAAGGTAATCCATGGCCCTGAGTTATGTATGTCAACACTTGAATTGGTAATATTTTTGCTGTGTGTGTCAACAAGATAACAAAATGCATTATTTTTTTTGAAATTAGGTAATAAGTATGTGTTGAGTGCTGAGTGGAGGAAGAACTTGGTGGGGAGGTTAGGAGGGTGGACAGGAGAGGAAGACACTGCAGAGTGTGAGAAGACTGGTTAGCAGCTGCATAGTAGTGGTCTAAGTGCTGCAGGAACATAGAGGAGCGACTTTGGATGGGGTGGATTTGGACTGAACCTTTATGAGAACATGCTCATCAAGAAGCACAAAAAAGGCATGCATTCTGAACAAGGACAGAAATGACCTAGTTGGAGGACATTAGTACTTCATCTGTCTAAGGAGTCCCAGTGGTACAGTGGTTAAGCACTTGGTTGCTGCCTGAAAGGTCATGGTTCAAACCCACCAGCCACTCCTTGGAAATAAGATGTAGCAGTCGGCTTCCATAAAGACTCGCTGCCATGGAAAACCAGTGGCGCTGTGAGTTGGCATCAACTTGTTGACAGCAGGGTTAGTTCATCCGTCCAGCTTGGGAGGACACATCTGTTCGTCTGTCTTCACTCCTCTACAATCTGTTGACCCTTAGAGTTATGGGCACCAGGCCGAGTATTGTCGAGCCACTGCAAGGAAGTTCGTGATCAGATCATGTTATATGTCAGTGTTATGAGAAGGGACATTTTCTGCACACATGAACATACCAGTATTTCAGATGAATATTTACTGACCCTGGTCTGGCTAGAACCAAAGAATTAAATGACTTCAGCTAATCTGTGCTGTGAAGAAATCATTTTTGTTCTTGAACTATCAATGTTGGATTGTGAAAAAAGTGGTTTAGAAGTATTCCTTTAAAACTTCTGTTTGTTTATTTTCCTTTAGGAGCCTGGCCTGTTCTTATAGATGATTTTGTGGAATATGCGCGGCCAGTCGTCACGGGGGGAAAACGCAGCACTTTCTGAGCAGAGAGACCATGCTGGAATTAGGCTGTGGATGGGTTGCATCCCATAAAGGAGACACTGGGGTCAGTTACTGTGCACATTTCTCACTGATTTCAGAAGTCATCCTTGCCTGCTCATGAAGCTAAAAGAACCATCCAGTTCTTGAAGAAAATGGTGACTGTTTTATGGACACCGTGAATTCCTCACAAGATGACCACTTTGGAATCTTTGCAGATCCCCGGGGCATTGTAGCTGTTGCTTTTAAAGAGATTTCTGCATGGTTTTGATATTTAAGAAAAAGTAACATAGAGCCCATTTTGCAGGACTGCAGAGCATGCTGTTTAGTTCATGATTTAAGATGAATACCAGCAGTTACCAAGACCCCTGCGAAACTAAATTGTCAATACACTTACAACCAGGGTGTGTGTTCTCAAGTAGGATGTTGTATTTTTATACAACATGTACCCAAAAGATGATCTTGTAATGGATTCTAAAATTTTTTAAACTTGGTGCCAGGAATTCAAGATTTATATTTTTTGAATTACCAAATGTCTAGATTTGCCAAATCTATTTTTGTTTGTGATAATTTTCCTAGCTGTTCATCTGTAGCTCATTTCATAATTTTGAATAGACCATTACAGTTTGCACAGTGTGTGATTTCAGGAAAGTTTTACTTTAAGCTGTTTACAAGTCAGCAAGCCTGTTTTACTTTCAATAACGCTATTTGAACTTCTGAAGAAGTTTCTTAAGGTATGTTTTGTTTTTAATTTAAAAAAAACAAAATATATATATATATAATTACATTTTAAAAGACATTTTCCATGAAAAATTATTTCTTTATGAGTGATGAAGTAAAGGCTTAAAGATCAAGGGAGTTGGTTACTTTCAAACATGTACAGTCTCAGTCATGCCTAGCATCCAAGCCTTGGTAAAAGTGGTACAATTTGGAAGCCAAAATATGCATCATTGTGGGGAGAAAACAAACAAAAAAGCAGAAGCCTTCATCTTCTTTGATAGCTGAAACGTGTCCTTGAAACAGATTGTGTGTTTCCTGACCTCTACTGGCACTGTGGGTTAATGCGTGGGACTGCAAAGTCAGTTTGAACCGCAAGGTCGGAGGTTCAAGCTCACCAGCTGCTCCTCGGAAACCCAAGACAGGGTCGCTGTGGGTTGGAACCAACTCGTCAACAGCCTTGTCAAAGTGTCCCCACTAGTGCGGCTCAGAAACGGGCTGTTCCGAGATGTGGAGAGCGTGGGATATCACCCTGATCTTCTTTTGACAAAGCTCTTTGGAGAACCTTAGAAGTCAGCCTCTCATTTGAAAAGAGGATCTTGGTGTATTTGGCCTTGTCATGGTAGGTGTCCCTTGCTGCCCTCTGTGCAGTTTAGGTAGCAGATAGTTGGCTGTTGTTTTACAGGAGACAGCTGAAAGAGAAGAGCTTCACTTCCGGTATGCCTCAAACGTGTATTTTGATCTGACTCCCCAAGATGAAATGCATTCAGTGTTTTAGGAAACTACTATTTAAATCAAAAGCCACATCCATTTGGATATACTTGGCTAAGGTATGAACTATATATGCTTTTTGTATAGAAATCTTCAAAAAAAAAAAGGGGGGGGGGCAACGGGATAGAGGAGTGAAGAAGGGTCTAAAAGACTGAAGACTGAGATCTAGGCCTGACTCAGCCACTAATTGTGTGCCCTGCATAAGGTTTCCAAGGAGCTGCTGGTGAGCTTGAACCGGTGACCTTGTGGTTCAAATTGACTTTGTAATCCAGTGCATTAGCCCACGGTACCACACTGGACCTCTGTTTCCATAGCTAGTAAGGGACAAAGTAGATCACCTCTACCTTCGAAACTGTGATTCTAAGAGAACATTTAATAAAAGCTCGCTTTAACAAAAACTTCAAAAATGTAAAAAAATCCTTCTATGCGTCATAGATTCTTGACATGTGAGCATTCTGTCGAGATCAATTTGTAGAGCTCAGATAATTATGAAAGTCTGTGATTATTTTTTTTTTAAGATTTAAAATTCTATAAGGTTGGGTATCCATAGCTATCACAACATTAGTAATTGGACAAATGACTCTTTAAAAAACCTGTGGGTTTCTTTTTCTGTTATATACATTTAAATTATGCATGCTATTAAGATGTTAAACTCTTCCTTAACCTTAAAATAAATTATTTTCTCTGCGGCTTGTTCTGGTATCCTTTTAAGTTCTATTCCTGGTTGCTTAGATACTTGCCACTAGATGGCAGTGTCTTCATCTTTATGTTTGTCTTCAGTCATGGGATAAACAAAATTTTTATTTATAGTAACCAATAAAAAAAATCCAGTAGAAGCTTCAAACTTCATGTGTAATCTTCTGTCTGCAGTCATCATGTTCAAAAACAGCTTATTTTGTTTTCTTTTCAAGTATCAGATTTTTGGTTGTTACTGTAAGTGCCATCGAGTGGGTTCCATCTCACAGTGACCCTATATAGGGTTTTTGAGGAGCAACGGGTAGATTTGAACCTCCATCCTTGTAGTTAGCAGTCCAGTGCTTATCCTACAGTGCCACACCAGGACTTCCAGTATCATATCATATATGCTGTTAATAGAGTTGTTTTCATGTGAGAAATCACAGATCTTAAAAGTTCACAGAATAAAGAATATCATTGAGCTGATAGAAATTATGTACCAAAATATACTGTAATACACATTACAAATCCATTGAAAATACATGAATAAGCCAAACATGGTAGATTCAAGAAATGTGGTGCTGTGGGCTAATGTGCTAGACTGCAAAGTCGTTTGAACCACAAAGTTGGTGGTTCAAGCTCACCAGCTGCTCCTTGGAAACCCTGTACAGGGTTGCTATGGGTCGGAACTGACTCAACGGCACTTAACAACAACAACAACAACATACCTTCCTAGAGTGCCTACCAAGAATTTCTGGAAGAATCATTGTCAGCATTTTTAGTGACATGTAATTGTGCACTTAACATAATGAAAGTTAAAGTGTAATAGGTACATTCTAGACTTCAGGCTCCAAGGAGCAGATGGTGGGTATTTTTCCGTTGTTGTTGTATCAATAATCCCTAACAGAACGTTCGTTTCTTTTCTTTTTTTAATTAAATGTTTTTATTTTGCATTGAGTGAAAGTTTACAGGGCACATCATCAGCTTCACATTCAACCATTCATATAGCTTGTTTCATTACATTGATTATTATCCCCTCCATATATCATCAGTTTACAGTGTTTCTCTCTATCCTCTTTAGCTTTTTTTTTTGGATGGGGGGGGACTTGCCTTTTTGGAATTTACAGTCTCGGCTTTTAGGGAAGGTTTTTACATTTGTCTGTGGATATCCAGGGCTCATGTATGAGATTACTAACAAGCATTACTGAATAATCAGATGAGGGAAGTTTGCTATGTCTACTAGGTGGCTAGAGTCTGATCCTCACAGCCTATGGTTTGGACGGTCAACAACGCTTGGGCCCACAGGGGTTTGGCCTCCTGACCGGGTCTGCATAGAACGTTCGTTTCTTGAATGAACAAATGAGTGGACTAATGTTTGTGAAATGCTGTGGAGTTGGTTACGATTCATGAAACCTAGTACAAGGCTTCCGAGGCTGTAAATCTTTGCGGGAGCTTTCCATCGAGCAATTAGTGGGTTCTAACTGCCGGCCTTGTGGTTTGTAATCTGGGATTTTCCCTCTGGAGCCACCGTGCCAGAAACTCATTCTCTCCCAGTTAGGAGGCTACAAGATGGTTTCAGAGCAGCAGCTCTGTAGAAAGGTCCTCGTCTCCTTCAGCATCTGGAGACCCAGCATTCCTTGCAGCTCTCTATGGGTCTTGACGTCCATTTTGGTCTGGATCTAGTGCAGGGACCCAGGTTCAAAGACACCCTCCACTCCCAGCTTTTCTGTCTTGGTGGCCATCGGTCCCTAATCTCACCTCTTCCTGTTGGCTGGCAGTGATCTGATAGTGTAGTTTCTAACTTTGATGAAGGTGTCCATTGCTTCAGAATCAGCAAGAGAAAAATCATGCATATTATCTATTTAAAACAGATGTAGATGAAAAGCAGTCACAAAATGAGATGTGAAAAAAATTTGCTAGAGATTGATTCTGTTAACTCCTCAATATATATTTCTGCCTGATTGTGCTGTTCTGCCAACAACAATATTAATACACTGATTGTACCTCCCCTCTGGTTTTTATTGTTTGGATAGGGACCGTACATGAATAGCAGTAAGAACTATCTGTCATGATCTTAAAGGATGATTTCAGAATCACTCAGAAATACACTAGCTAGAATAATATTCCAGAAAACTCACTTTTGACAAATTACTCTTACATGTTAGGTACCGTCAAGTAGGTTCCAACTCATAGCAACCCTGTGTCCAACTGAACCGACACTGCTCAGCTCTGTACCTTCCTCAGTTGCTGGTATACTATGTGTTGATTTAAATGCATCTGAGGACTTGTTCTATCCTAAAACTTTGTTTTGTTAGATTTTTAAGGCCGTGTGTCTGCTGATTTCTGGGGTCTGATAGGAAAGTGGGTTCCACTGGGAATCAGGAGCGCAAAACACCCTCATTGCTAACGGTTTGGATTCTCTCTAACTCTAATCCTCCTCTTCTGCGTCTGGGGCTTAAGGAGATACACTTCCTACTTTTTGTTTCCTTTAAGAGCCCGGATTCCATGTCTCCCCTCTCCCCACCTCAAGCCTCCTCAGATCTTTGAGTGATCTTTTTACAGAATGGTGAGAAGACTTTGAATAACTTTGCTTACTGAGAGCATAGTCACAAACTACCAGGAAGCTTCTCAGTTGGCTAACAGTTGGCCACTTTCCAGTCTAAAATCCTGGTGTGGAGTGCTAGCCCACCAGTGGCTCCTTAGAAACCCTTCACAGATCCGCTGTGCGTCACAACTGACTCGACAGCACGTCACAACAACAACCTAAAGTTTAGTTATTCAGAGAGACTTTTGTTAGACAGCAAATTGTGAGAAAATCTTATCACATCTCACACTGGAGCCA